TATCATTTACAAGGGCCAAGTATCATATACAAGGTTATCCAAGAACACCCCGAACATATGTCTCATAGCAGCTCTTTCGACATCCCATTTGTCCGAGGATGTCTCAGGCGAAACGGTCGTTTTTGAAGTTCCGAAAATTAGGCCAGCGATTTCAATATCCCGATTTGTTGAGGATGTCTCAGGCGAAACGCTCATGTTTAACATAAGACGTCTTAAGATACGACCCCCAACTTCACGATTTGGCGAGGACGTCTCAGGCGAAACGCTCGTTGTGGGAACCTTTCCTGACATGAACGGGAAGCGCGTGAAAGGACAGAGCTGCGCAAGAACGTGCAGCATCATCACGATAAACTGTAATGTAGGCGAGCTTTCCGAACGTCCACAGGGGATACCTACGGACACGCGCTCCCCGAACGTCCACAAGGAGAGTCCTGATGATCCTCCTCACTTCTCTGTACGCCTCCAATGTCGTCCGTCGATCCCTCACTTATCTGATGTGTTCGAAGGCCCGTCCGAAGGCACACACACGCACACACACAGGAGGAAGAGGCTCTGGTACGTTTTAGAAGACCTCCTCAAAAGCATTTGCAAGGGGGATGTCTCGAGCGAAACGCTTACTTATCTGATGTGTTCGAGTAGGAGGGGGCGAAGGAGATGGAGGATCGTGAGGAGCAGACGGCCCTCACGACTGCCCAACAGAGCCTCACAATACGATCATATGCAAGAACTTAGTTTAGAGGAAGTATCATATACAAGGACCATCGTACACGAGGAAGATCATATACAACGAAGGCCATATTCAAACAAGATCATATACAACTAAGGGGCCGCACACCCGCCGTCTCGCATATAGGCAGGCGGCCCCATCATCGAATCGATAAGCCGGATCGGGTCGACCGGAGCATCGAATCGGCAGAAATCGGCAAAAGCCGGCAGCCAAATCGAAATCGGCTGAGGTCGGCAAGTCCGAGCTGGATCGAGTCGGAAACCGGACAGCGTCAAGCCGGATCGGAATCGAAATCGAGCCCCCCCCCTCGGGGGGGGGGTTTGGACCCCCCCCTGGGGGGGGGTTGGGGTCCCGGGGCTTTTGGAAAACCCCCCCCTGGGGGGGGTTTGGGGTCCCGGAGCTTCTGGAAAACCACCCTCTGGGGGGGGTTTGGGGTCCCGGGGCTTTTGGAAACCCCATGGGGGGGGGGTTGGGGTCCCGGAGCTTTCGGAAAACCCCCCCCTGGGGTTTGGAGTCCCGGGGCTTTTGGAAAACCCCCGCCCTGGGGGGGGTTTGGGGTCCCGGGGCTTTTGGAGCGGTGGGTGGGGGGGTCCCGGGGCTTTTGGAAAACCTTCCCTTGGGGGGGTGGGGGGGTCCCGGTGCTTTTGGAAAACCCCTCCCTGGGGGGGTGGGGGGGTCCCGGGGCTTTTGGAAAACCCCTCCCGGGGTTTGGGGCCCCGGAGCTTCTGGAAAACCCCCTCCTGGGGGGGTTTGGGGTCCCGGTGCTTTTGGACCCGACCCCCCCCCCCATGGGAGGGGTTTGGGGTCCCGGAGCTTTCGGAAAACCTTCCCCTTGGGGGGGTTGGGATTTTTGGACTCCCCCTCTGGGGGTTCCTCCTCCCTCCTCCTCCTCCCCTTAGGGGCCAGAGCCGGAGCGAGGCCGGATCGGCAAAAGCCGGCAGGAATCGGCTGACGCATCGAACCGGCAGAAGCCGGATCGGGCAAACTCGGAATCGGAATCGCGAATCGGAACCCCGGAATCGAGTCGGTTCGAAATCGGAATCGCGGAAATCGATTCGAATCGAACCGGCGGAATCGGAATGACCCCTGTATAGGCGACTGCACCGCCCCTACTCCCGGGGGTCCCTGGGCGGCCATAGCGTATCTCTGGGATTGTCCAGGGCTTCAATGACGGCCCAGGAAGCCCACCCAGGCCACCAAGATAGCCCAGAATCGCTCCGAGGCGGCCAAAGATGGCCTCCAGACGGCCCAAAAGACCTCCAACACGCCCCAAGAGGCCTCCAAGAGCCCTGCCAAGAGACATCATATACAAGGAATGTCATAGACAAGGGCGATCATATACAAGAACTAAATATAAAGGAAGTGTCATATACAAGGACCACCAGTATCATATACAAGGACCAAGTATCATATACAAGGTTATCCAATAATACCCCGAACATATGTCTCATAGCAGCTCTTTCGACATCCCATTTGTCCGAGGATGTCTCAGGCGAAACGGTCGTTTTTGAAGTTCCGAAAATTAGGCCAGCGATTTCAATATCCCGATGTTTTGAGGATGTCTCAAGCGAAACGCTCATGTTTAACATAAGACGTGTTAAGACACGACCCCCAACTTCACGATTTGGCGAGGACGTCTCAGGCGAAACGCTCGTTTTGGCCCGTTCGAAAGCATGTTGTAAGCGATTTCTCGAGTTACACGCTTCAACGGAAATGTTAAAAACAAATGTTTTTTTTCAATATTTTCGCTTCTTGGGCCATCTTGGGGGTCATCCGAGATCGCTACAAAAAGATGCCTTGCAAGAGCTGTGTCGGCATCCCATTTTATCGAGGATGTCTCGGGCGAGACGCCCATTTTCGAGGAACAGAGAATTAGGACGTCGATTTCGACATCCCGATTTTTTGAGGATGGCCCGAGCGAAACGCCCATGTTTAGCAAACGACGTCTTAAGATAATTACGACCCCCAACTTCACGATTTTGTGAGGATGTCTCGAGCGAAACGATCATTTTGGGAATCCGCCAGGCTCCTGACATCGAGGCGGCGCCGCACGTTCCCCCTCCAGACCTCCCCCTGATAAGTAAATCCCTCTGGGCAAACAGACGTCCATCGCGCGACTCTTCGAGTCTTGGCGCGCTCCCCGTCATCCGCCAGGCTCTGAATCACGAGGCGGCGCCGCACGTTCCCCCTCCAGACCTCCCCCAGTTGATAAGTAAATCCCTCTGGGCAAACAGACGTCCATCGCGCGACTCTTCGAGTCTTGGCGCGCTTCCCGTCATCCGCCGACCCCTTGTGGGTCTCTAGGCGTGTGAGATTGTTCCCCCCCCATAAGCCCCCCCCCCGGGACCCAAAACCGGCAATTTGCCCTCCCCCCCTCCCCCCACCCTCACCCCCCCCCCCCCCCCGGCCGCGCACGACCCTCCGCTGAACTCACCCGGCTCGGCTTGGGCTCCCCAGGCTCGGCTTGGAGCCTCTCCAGATGCTCCCAAGACGGTCCAAGAGTGCACAAAGTCGCCGAATGATCGCTACGAGAAGCCAAAGATGGGCCCCAGACAGCCCAAGAAGGCGCCAAGACGCTCCAAGAGGCCTCCAACAGGCTTGCGAAGAGAGGCCCGCGAGGCCAAAATCGTCCCATTCCTATTGGGAAACGTACATTGTTTCCATGTGCGACTCTTCGGCCTTCACTGCGTGGACAACTGCTCACGAGGCCGCCAAGACCGCCCCAGGAGGGCCCAAGAAGTTCCCAAGAGGGCCCCAAGACGGCCCAAGGAGGCCCCAAGACGGCCTTAAAGGCGCCCAAGAGGGCCCAAGAGAGCGCCAAGAAGGGCCCAAGAGGGGGAGCCCGAAGCGGAAATCCAAGCCTTCTGCCTCAAGACGCTCCTGGGAGGACCCAATATGTCCCCAAGAGGCCCCCAGAGGCTTCCAAGAGGCCCCCAGAAGCCTTCAGAAGCCCAAAAGAAGCTCCAAAACGGCCGCCAGAAAGCTGCCAAACTGCCTCCAAGAGGCCCGCGAGCCACAACGACGTGCACATCGTCGACACCAGTTAGGGCAACGTATTCTGTAGCATAATGACTCTTCGGCCATCACGGCGTTCACGACCGCCCAGGATGCCTCCACCACCGCCCCAAGACGGCCCAGGAAACTCTCACGGGGCCCCCAAGTCAAGCCAACAGCGCTCCTCAATCCTCGTGCCTCCCGCCCTTTCCCGCTCCTCCCCCCCCGTCCCCAACAGGGTGCGACAGGGAGAAATTACGTATAAGGAAAAGGAGTGGAGGAGGAGGAGAGGAGGAGGAGGAGGAGGAGGAGGAGGAGGAGGAGGGAGGAGGAGGGAGGAGGAGGAGGAGCGGGAGGAGGAGGGGGAGGAGGAGGAGGAGGAGGAGGAGGAGGAGGTTCTGTAGACACCAGGGCTCGAGCAGGGAATCGACTGCAGAAGTGATGTACCCCAAATCTGATTGCTCGGTCGGATCGCAGAACATATGCCTGGACTGCTCCGTAGAGCTACAGAGCAATCTACGCATGCTCTCTAGGTTCGGCGGGGAAAGCAAGTTGGGGGAAGCCAAGTCTGCAGTCGATCCCTTACTCGAAGGGCCTCCCACGTGAGCATCGCGATTGACTTATCGCCACGGCACGTGCAAACCAACACGACGCACACGTAGTACTGTTTGGATTAATGCTGGGACTCGCTTCCCAATCTCCATTCATAGACTCAGGTTCTCATAATACTCGGGGGGTCTACTTTTGTGGGTGGTCTAACGGGCCTCGTCAAACTATATTGTTTGGGGGTCTCGATGCTGGACCCGTTGTTGCACGGCTCTTGGGGGGGTCCCAGATGCGCTGTCTAACACTTTTTGGACCCGCCCCCCGCGGTTGTGAGATTTGGAATAACTCGCTCGCGTCGGCTCCACTTACGCACACGTTCTCTCACTGCTGCTTACCGTGAACGGCACCACCTCAACACAGATGGGCGAGGTGGCACGCAAAGAAGAGGAAGAGCAGCAGCAGCAGCAGCAGCAGCATCAACGGCAAATGCCACAGCAGCAAGAGCAGCAGCAACAAGAGATCGAGGACTGGGAGACAGGCGTGGAGGTGGAGGGGGAGTGGGCGTGGAGGAAGGAGGGAAGGAGAGGGGGGGGAGGAGGAAAGGAGCAGGAGGGAGAAGATAGGAGGAGGGACGGAGGGAGGAGGGATGGATGGAGGATGGTGAGAGGAGGGAGGAAGGGAGGGAGGGAGGGGTGGATGGAGAAGGGAGGGAGGCGAAAGAGTCGGCGCGAGCCTTCGAGGCAGTTCCACTCCGCGTCCCCCAGCCTTGGCGCGACGCACGCCGAGCCGAAGGGCCCACATGGGGGGCACGGGGAGCAGGATCTCGGGGCACGCCATGCGTGCCACGAGGATGGACAAGCGACCTCCTCGTCCACCTCCTCCTCCTCCTCCTCCTCCTCCTCCTCCTCCTCCTCCCCCTCCTCCCCTCCTCCTCCTCCTCCTCCTCCTCCTCCTCCTCCTGCTCCCCCTCCTCCTCCTCCTCCTCCTCCTCCTCATCATCATCCTCATCCTCATCCTCATCCTCCTCCTCCTCCTCATCCTCAGCATCAGCAACATCATCATCATCATCATCATCATCACCATCATCATCACCATCATCATCACCACCACCATCATCCTCCTCCTCCTCCTCCTCCTCATTATCAGCATCAGCATCAGCATCAGCATCAGCATCAGCATCAGCATCAGCATCAGCATCAGCATCAGCATCAGCATCAGCATCAGCATCAGCATCAGCATCAGCATCATCATCATCATCATCATCATCATCATCATCATCATCATCATCATCATCATCATCATCATCATCATCATCATCATCATCATCATCATCATCCGCCTCTTCTTCCTCCCTCCCTCGCGATATCCCTTGTAGAGCTAATCCTCCTTCTCCTTCGCAGCAACGACGCAACAAGCAACCGAACCGAACCGACGCAGCCGAACCGACCGAGCCGCGGACACCCCTCGGCATTGTTGCTCCCATGCAGCCTCATCCTCCCGCTCCCCCTTTTTTCGGCGGCGAGCGAGGGGAGAAAATAAAAATGGAAGAACAAAAAACGCCATAAGTATAACCTGTTGGCGCTCCGTGCGGATTTCTTTGATCCGAGCTGGGCCACCCCTGGGCGGCGCCTTCCAGCGCCGGGGGTCCAGCGCAGATCCAAGAAATCCATGCGGAGCGCCAAAAAATTATGTTTATAGTGGCTTTGTCTCTTTCCCCAAACAACCTGCTGAACGGGGTGCTGTTGTGATAGAAGCTAACTCGGGCCGAGGGAAATCAAAACAGAAACGCCGTCAACAAAAATTTGGTGGTCTGGGCCGTTTCGCCTGAGACATCCTCGCAACTCTCGTTTCTGAGTTGTCCGGGAAGGGGCGTTTCGCGTGAGGCATCCTCCAAACTCTGAGTTCCCAGATGCCGCGCAAGAGGTGGTCTGGTCCGTTTCGCCTGAGACATCCTCCAAACTCTGAGCTCCCAGATGCCGCGCGAGAGGTGGTCCGGCCCGTTTCGCTTGAGACATCCTCCAAACTCTGAGCTCCCAGATGCCGTGCGCGAGGTGGTCCGGCGCGTTTCGCCTGAGACATCCTCGCAACTCTGAATTCTGAGATGCCGCGCAAGAGGTGGCCCAGCCCATTTCGCCTGAGACATCCTCGAAACCCTGGGCTCCGAGATGCCGCGCAAGAGGTGGTCCGGCCCGTTTCGCCTGAGACATCCTCCAAACTCTGAGCCCTGATATGCCGTGCGCGAGGTGGTCCGGCTCGTTTTGCTTGAGGAATCCTTGCAACTCTGCGCTTTCTGATGCCGCGCGAGAGGTGGTCCGGCCAGTTTCGCTTGAGACATCCTCCAAACTCTGAGCCCAGAGATGCTGCCCAAGAGGTGGTCCGGTCCGTTTCACTTGAGGCCTCCTCGCACTTTTGCATTCCGAGATGCCGCGCGAGAGGTGGTCCGGCCCGTTTCGTCTGAGACGTCCTCGAAACTCTGAGCTCTGAGATGCCGCGCGCGAGGTGGTCTGGCCCGTTTCGCCTGAGACATCCTCTAAACTCTGAGCTCTGAGCTGCCGCGCAAGAGGTGGTCCAGCCCATTTCGCCTGAGACATCCTCGCAACTCTGACCTCGGAGATGCCGCGCGCGACGTGGACCAGCCCGTTTCGCCTGAGACATCCTCGTAACTCTGAGCTCTAAGATGCCCTGCGCGAGGTGGTCCGGCCCGTCTCGCCTGAGACATCCTCGCAACTCTGAGCTCTGAGATGCCGTGCGCAAGGTGGTCCGGCCCGTTTCGCACAAGACATTCTCGCAACTCTGAGCTCCCAGATGCCGCGCAAGAGGTGGTTCAGCCTGGGGGCCCAGAAAACCACATGTTACATATCCGGAGCCCCAGGAGGCCCCAGAGAGCTTCAGGAGGCCGCAGGACGCCCAGGACAGGCCCCAGGGGTCCCCAGGGGATTCCCAGGAGGCTCCCAGGAGGCCCCAGGAGGCCCCCTATCAGAACGTGTCAAGTTAATACGCATCTGGTGCCGATTCGTTGATTTTTCCTGCTCTTGTGGCCCCACCCCCATTTTGGGGGGCCCCGACTGGATATTCCCCTGGGAGCCCAGAGAAAAGAGGCTTCAGGAAGACCCAGGTGGGGTCCAGGAGGCCATAGGAGGCCCAGGAGGAAGCCCCAGGAGGTCCCCAGGAGGCCCCAGGAGGCCTCCAGGAGGCCCCCGCAACTCGGAGCTCTGAGACGCCGCGCTCGAGGTGGTCCGGTCCGTTTCGCCTGAGACTTCCTCGCAGCACGTTTCGCCCGAGACGTCGTCGCAACTCTGGGGTCCGAGATGCCGCGCGCGAGGTGGTCCAGCCAGTTACGCTGGAGACATCCTCGCAACTCTGGGCTCCGAGATGCCCTGCGCGAGGTGATCCGACCCGTCTCGCCTGAGACATCCTCGCAACTCTGAGCTCTGAGATGCCGTGCGCAAGGTGGTCTGGCTCGTTTCGCACAAGACATTCTCGCAACTCTGAGCTCCCAGATGCCGCGCAAGAGGTGGTCCAACCAGGGGGCCCAGATGACCACATGTTACATATCCCCCCTGGGACCTGGGAGCCCCAGGAGGCCCCAGAGAGCTTCAGGAGGCCGCAGGACGCCCAGGACAGGCCCCAGGGGTCCCCAGGAGATTCCCAGGAGGCTCCCAGGAGGCCCACGGAGGCCCCCTATCAGAACGTGTCAAGCTAATACACATTCGGTGTCGATTAGTTGATTTTTCCTGCTCTTGTGGCCTCCCCATTTTGGGGGAGCCCCGACGGCCACATGTTAGATACCCTCCCCTGGGAGCCCCAAGAGGCTTCAGGACGCCCCAGGTGGGGTCCAGGAGGCCACAGGAGGCCCAGGAGGAAGCCCCAGGAGGTCCCAGGAGGCCCCAGGAGGCCCTAGGAGGCCCCCGCAACTCGGAGCTCTGAGACGCCGCGCTCGAGGTGGTCCGGTCCGTTTCGCCTGAGACTTCCTCGCAGCACGTTTCACCCGAGACATCGTCGCAACTCTGGGGTCCGAGATGCCGTTCGGGATAAAGAGGAGGTGGAGGAGGAGGAGGAGGAGGAGGAGGCATGTTCTAACATGCCATGCCAGCCGGCACTGGACGGGCACGTAATCGGCGTTGGAAACCGCAGTGGGTTTAAACACCCTGTTTGGGGATATTGCACTCCGGCTATAATTCTAGAGAAGGAGGAGGCCTTCTCAGGACGCGGCGGGGCTTCTCAGAGGCCATCCGGCCTGCTGAGAAACTTTCTGCGTCTTCGGGATAAGGCTTAGGCAACTCCCCAGAACACCGGAGAACTTCCGCGCCTTCTGACCCGGACATCTGGCTGCTCCAGTTTGTTCGATGCCTGGGCCCCCGAGGCCCCGACCACTTCCCCAGGGCCGGTTCGTCGCCCTGGGTCGTCTTTTCCACGCTCCCGAAGCCCGGCGAGGGCCCCAAGAGGCCGAAGACGCCCAAAAACCGCCTGCTCCGATTTTGTTGGAGCGTCGGATCTCTGGGGGGACTGCGCGCCTTCTCTCACTTCTCCCCAGCGCGAGCCGCCGACTCTTCCTGGATGATCTCCCTGCTGCGCCACTGCTCCGTGCCTCCCTCAAGGCTCCTCTCTGCTGGCTCTCGCCCCCGTGCCCCCGTGCGCGGGGCCGGCGGGAGGGGCCGCCGGCCAGGCCTCTGCAGCACCATCTCGTCGTCTTTAAAACTGAGTCTCCGTGGACGTCGTCGTCGTCGTCGACGTCATCGTCGTCGTCGACGTCGTCGTCGTCGTGGGCATGGGCGTGGGCGTCGGCGTCGTCGGCGCCTTCGTCGTGGTACGTGTTGCTCGGCTTGGAACTTGCTTCCCCCACGCTTTGACCACCAAAGCACACCACACCTCGTGGAGCGGCGCCGCTCTTCCTGCGCGGGGAATGCCCACGGAAACTGCGAGCGCCTCGCTCGGATTCGCGGCAACAGTCGCTGCAGCGGAGGATCGCGACGTAGCAGGATGATCACGCCGCCCCGCGCTCCTCATCCTCCTCCTCCTTCTCCTCCTCCTGCTCCTCCTCCTTCTCCTCCTCTTCATCCTTCTCCTCCTCCTCCTCCTCCTCCTCCTCCTCTTTCTCCTCCTCCTCCTGCTCCTCCTCCTTCTCCTCCTCCTGCTCCTCATCCTCCTCCTCCTCTTACACTTCCTCCTCCTCCTCCTCCTCCTCCTCCTCCTCCGCCTCCTCCTCCTCCTCTTCTCCTCTTTCTCCTCCTCCTCCTCCTCTTCCTCCTCCTCCTCCTCCTCCTCCTGCTCCTCATCCTCCTTCTCCTCCGCTTCCTCCTTCTCCCTGCTCCTCCTTCTCCTCCTCCTCCTCCTCTCCCTCCTCCTCCTCCTCCTCCTCCTCATCATCATCATCATCATCATCTTCCTCCTCCTCCTCATCCCCCTCCTCCCCTCCTCCTCCTCCTTCTCCTCCTCCTTCCTCCTCCTCTCCTCTCCTCCTCCTCCTCCTCCTCCTCCTCCTCCTCCTCCTCCCTCTCCTCTCCTGCTCCTCCTCCTCACCCTCCTCCTCCTCCTCCTCCTCCTCCGCCTCCCCCTCTCTCCCTCCCCCTTCCCCACCCCTCCCTCTCCTCCCCCCCCCCCTCCCGCTCCCTCTCCCCCTCCCCCTCCCCCTCCCCCTCCTCCGGAGGGGCACTGAGCAAGCACGGAGCGCACGATGACGTGCTGGCGGACACCTTGCAGCACCACCCGGTGGCATCGCAGCGCGAGGTCGGTGCTGCTGGGCAGCGTGGCACGTGTGCTGGCCAGGCGCAGGCTTGATGAAAGGAAAGCTCGACCACAAGGAAGAGCGCGCAAAAGGGAGATGAGGAGAACGACAAGGAGAGAACGAAGAGGAGGAGCCTGAGGACGAGGAGACCGAGGTCGGTGTTCGAGGTGCGGACCAGGAGCGGTCCGTCAGCTGAGCTCCGACGTGCGTTGGCACACTGGTGACCCGCAGCACGTGGAGGCGGAGAAGCAGCAGGAGAGGGAGGCTGAGGATGAGGACAAGAGGAACAAGTTCGAGTAGAAGAGGAGGAGCGCGAGTACCACTGAGATCCGAGTCTCACGATACTCAATGCCTCGGCGCCCAAGCCATGGATATGGACTGGTCGCACCTGGCGAAGGAATAGTGACAGTGCCATTGCAGATGAACGAATGCCGTCTTTAAGAACATCTAGATGCTGGGAGGTTATCAAAGGGCGACCATCATGGTCCCATACTTAGCCACGTGATACATGTAGAAACCACAGGCAATGGCCAATACTTATCATTATCCGGTGAGGCCCATCGGGGATGCTTCACAGGAAGACCTGAACCGAAACTAGGAGCAGGAGGAGGAAGAGGAGTTCGAGGAGGAGGATACAATAAGAAACATGTGCATCACATGGACTTTCGGAAGTTCGCGCGGATTTCTTGGATCTGCGCTGGACCCCCTGCCTGGCGCGCGGAGCGCGCCAAGGCCGGCGCGGGAACCGCCGCCAGGGGGTCCCAGTGCAGATCCGAGAAATCCGCGCGGACCTTCTAAAGTGTACGGTCGGGAACTGTTGCTTAGCGTGAAGTCGGGCGTGTCCCCCTACAGGGGGATTTGAGGAAAGATGAACAATGCCCCCCAAATACTCCACAATGGTGAAACAAATGAGCAACACATAGTCCCCAGACTATGTTTGTGAACTGTTCTCGGAGATTCCCCCTGTAGAGGGACAGGCCCGACTTCAGCCTAGCGTGCCGCGGCGGCGGCCCCGGCGACACGGCGGCGCGACACACTGCGATCAGGAGCCTTTGCTTCGCGTGTCGCGGCGGCGGCCCTGGCGACACGCCACGCCTCGCTCGCGGATGGCGTGCCGCGCCGCTCCGCGGCTCGGGAGGCTCGGAGAGGCTCGGGACGCTGACGCGCTGGGGGACTGGGAAGCGGAGAGCGTGCCGCGCCGGAGCGTGGTGGGCCAGAACCGGCGGAGCGACACGCTATCCTTATGTCGGGCGTGTCCCCCTACAGGGGGATTTTCAACGAACAATGAAAAATACCGACAACAATAGTCAACAAATACTCCAAAAATAGCCTGGGGGCTATTTTCTGAATATTGTTTGATCTTTTAACTATTTTTGGGGTATTATTATTTTTCCTCGAAAATCCCCCTGTAGGGGGACACGGCCGACATGACGCTATCCAAAAGATCCTGACGTAAACCAAAATTCCTGACACTATGGCTGTGCCGGATTTTCTCTCCCTCGAGAAGGAGGTGCCGCGCGGGATGGGGGGGCCAACACCAGCAGCCGCGCTAGGGGCCCGCGGCCGTCCGCCGAGCGCGCGGCCGCCGCGCCACAGCACCCGGTGCATTGAGCGCGTCGCGGAGCCACGCGGGCATCGGCCTGGCGGAGGTGGCGTACATGCCAGGGGGCACGGCGGCGCCGAGCTCCTGCGGACCCCTCGTCATCCCCTCCTCTCCCTCCCTGCTCCCTCCCCCCCTCATCCCTCCCTCCTCCCTCCTCCCTCCTCCCTCCCTCCTCCCTGGCCCTTCTCAGAGGAGACAGGGTGGTGGGGAGATGTTGGGAGCGAACGGCGCCGCCTCTCTCGCGCGGCCCCGCCGGCGCCGCCTGCTCCCTTTCTCCCTTGCGGCTGCACGCGCGGCTTGGACAGGCGCCGAGCGTGCCGCCGTGACCAGTTGCCCATGCCTTTGTCCGCACATGGTTGAAGCCGGCCGACTCTAGGGGCAAAACAAACCTACCTCGCTTTTGACCACCCTCGCTTCCAAGAGATACCAAGCGATGCCAAACCACGGCCTGTACTGGTCAGGCCGCTTGACGAGGAGGCGCGTGGTATGACTTGGCTTTGCCTGGAAGCGAAAGCGGGGTAGGTAATTCACGCTCTGAGACTCCGTACGGGGCCACATGTGGGATATCGGCAAGTGCCTGAGCTTTTTTTCTGCTGGCCTGAGCGTGTCCAACCGTGGCGACGTCAAGGCCCCACGTGACCCCCAGCCGGGGGGAACTCGGCACCCGTGGCGACGGGCACGTGCGACGCCCCGCGCGCCCGCCGCCGCCCCTCCCGCCAGCCAGGTGCCACGTCCCTCCGCCCGTGGATCGCGTGCCGGACAGGGGAAGGGAGCAGGGGAGGAGGAGGAGGGGGAGGAGGGAGGAGGGGAGGAGGAGGAGGGAGGAGGAGGAGGAGGAGGCGGAAGGAGGAGGAGGAGGAGGGGAGGAGGAGATGGCCGCCAGTGCCACGCGTGCTGCCTGCTGCCGCCTGCTGGCCCGTCGGCGGGGCAGAGCTCCTCCTCCTCCTCCTCCTCCTCCTCCTCCTCTCCTCCTCCTGCTCCCCTCCTCCTCCTCCTCCTCCTCCTCCTCCCTCCTCGTCCCTCGTCCTCCTCCTCCTCTCCTCCTCCTCCTCCTCCTCCTCCTCCTCCTCCCCTCCTCCTCCCCCTCCTCCTCTGGCCCCCGCCGCGAGCACGCCAGCGCCATGCCCCGAAAGGCGCTCACCGAGGCGCTTGAGAGTCCCCTGCGGCGCGAGCCGGCCGCCGCTCCCGAGAGAGGTCGCTCCTCCTCCTCCCTCCTCCTCCTCCTCCTCCTCCTCCTGCCTCCTCCTTCCTCCTCCTCTTGCTCTCTGCTCCTCTGCTCCTCCTCCTCCTTTGCTCCCC